GACTGAGAAAGATGGGTTCAATAATGTATACTGCATTGAAACAGATGAGGGAGAAAACTATTCAAAAGGGATATGTGACTATGTATTTTTGTCCTGACAGGAGTCCAGAATGAAGGCTGCATAGTGGAGTGGACCTGGGGGAGGGATTGTAAAACAATGAAAGAATTTTTCTTTAACTGTTCCAAGAGGGTAGTGTACTAAAGGGAATGTTGGAAGGGGAGAAAAGTGCAACAATGAATGAATGGAAATCGAAAGTCTCTGTAAATTTTCATTGAAATTAACAATAAATTTTTAAAAAATACAAACCCTTTCTGTGTGCACATCCATGTTTACTGCTGCGTTGTTCACAACAGCAAAGAAATAGAAACAACCCAAGTGTCCATCAAACAAATGGATAGAGAAGTTGTGGTATATTCACACAATGGAATACTATGCAGCACTGAAAAAGTAACTCGAAATATTATACAAAATGGGTGACCATGAGTGAAATATCTCTGTCACAAAAGGACAAATACTGCATAATGTCACTGTTAATACAGGACTGACATCAGGGTTGGGAGGGAACTAAGAAAAGTGGGGATATTTAATGTATACTACATTGAAACATATGAGGGAGAGAATTGCTTAAAAGGAATATTGTTGTTGTTGTTGTTACTGGTATGTGTCATCAAGTCGTTTGCAACTCATAGCAACACTATTTACAAGAGCCCTAAACGCCGTTCTATCCTGTGCTGACCTCGTTGTATCAAACACATTCATTCCCACCACTCCACTCACAGAATCGATCCATCTCATCGAGGGTCTTCCTCTCCTGAGCTATCCCTCCACTCTCCCAAACATGATGTCCTTCTCCAAGGACCAGTTCCTATTTGCAACATGCCCAAAGTATGTCAGACGAAGCTTCAGAATCCTTGACTCCAGGGAACATTCTGGCTTCACCCTCTCCAGGACAAATCTGTTTGTTCCCCTAGCAGTCCATGGAATACTCAACACTCTTCTACAGCACCACAACTCAAAAGCATTAATTCTCTATCATCCCTATTCACTGTACAACTCTCCGATGCACAGCACGTAATTGCAAAGACTATAGCCTGGATCAGGCACACCTTAGTCTCCAGCCTAACGTCGCTGCACTTCAGTATTCTTGAGAGGTCCCTCACAGCCGACTTTCCCAACGCAATTCGTCTCCTGATTTCCTGGCTGCTGTTACCAAGAGTGCTGACTGTGGAGCCAAGTAAACTAAAACTGTAAACTATCTCAATCTCTTCACCATCCATACTGATGCTGCCAATTGGCCCAGTGGTGAGAATCTTTGTTTTCTTGATATTGAGCTTCAATC